TTGTCTGTATTGCAAAACCATATCGGACCTTATGTATTATCTTTGAACCATATTCCCTAATTATCTTACCTGATAACTCTAATTTAACTTAAATTATAATCTACTTGTTTTACATATTTCAAATGAAAGATATTGTTTTCATTCTTTAAAATGATAGACCAATCTAGTAACTACACTTCATGATGGATCGACCTTCATTCCTATCGTACAACATTTTATTAACGAGAACTTGGTTAGAAAATAGATCTAGATTCTGCTGTAAATGAATGTTATGTTTTAAATTATCGACAAAAATGGCTTAAACAAATAATTTTCTTTAACAGCTTTTTTTTTTTTTTTTATATATATATATGAATTTTCTTATATATATTGACTAAAGTTTCAGTTCTCTAGAACTAAAATCTTGGACCCTGCCCCCTCTGCATACGCCTCTGATTTATCGTTTTCTCTAACAATTCTCACCTCTACCAATACTACAGAACATTCGTGTGCAGATCAATTTTCTTGGCCCTCGATCGTGACTAATGCTACAGATTCAGAACAAAATTTATATTGACACAGATGTATCAAAGTTCTTTTTTTTTTTTTTTTTTAAATGTGAATTAATGCAGATTCATTTGTAAATTTATTTTCGAGTGGTATTACATCAAGGTAACACAAACCTAACAGTCAGATGTTTTTCTCTTTCATGATGAGATCATATTCATCATATTGAATTGAATTGCTTGCAAGTGGATTTGCACAATAAATTTTTATCCCTGACTCATATGATAATCAATACATGCAAACAAGAACAGATAAATCAATATATATGCTGGATATACACAAATGTATTTATGTGTATGTAGAGAGAGAGGGGGAGAGAGGGTCACGGTCTGTGTAGGGTGAACAACGGACATGAATAGTATAGAGGGAGGGGCCAGCCATGGCATTGGGACCATTAAAAGGTTGGTTGAGAAAGAAAGGACTGAAAAAGGGTTGCTTTTGCAAGCCCAACCATGACAGGACACCTTTCCATCAAATTTTTAAAAAGGCCTCACACTCATGCATGTGTCCAATTGCACTTTCCTCTTTAAATCTTTTTTATACTTTTGGTTTCATACTAGAGAATAATAATTAATTTACAACTTCTTATGAGGGGATATAGTTTGGTGTAATAATAATTAATTCAAAGCAGAATTAGAGTAATTGATTACAGCAACCACTCACAACAATTGGCACCAAATAATATGGAAAATAGATCTTGTTCAGAGATGTGACTGAGTGATAAATTATGAATAAATAAATATTTTCTTTTCCAATAATTATACTTCTAGACAACGTAGTTCAATATCTTATTGGAGTTGATTCTTCGGGCTTCGACGCAATTACTATAGCATTATTGTAACGTAAATCTTGAAATATATATACCGAAGGTAAGTGAATAAATTTTCTACTCATACAATGATAGAATAAACACATGATGTTTAGGATAAATGTATTCTCTACTTAATCGCTTAAACTTTTAGGGCGGACCAACTCAACATTTATCGATCGATCCATCAGAGGAGGGGATGAGGTTGCTTACCATTTTACAGTACATTTATGGCAGCCTTCCAATAAAGTCTATTCATATAGCTGAACATTGAATATGAGTGTGAAACATGAGTTGCTAGCTAGCTGGTCCAAAGGGGACCAAAAAAAACCTGTGGCTCGAAATAAAGTGATATAACTGACTGGAATTAAAATGTTATGTCCATTTCGTGAGGAATTTGAATTTTCCTCTCTCTTCTGGTTTTTGTAGACTTTATATCCATAATTACCTGCTCATGTGTTTTTGTTTCTTACATGTTATAATTATAGGCAGAAGCTGGCAACATTCTGCCAGTTCTCTACAGTTTATAGTTCCCTACTGAGATTTATTAAAAAATGTTTGGGATATTGTAGTGGACGCGATGTTAAATTTTAGCGTATTGAAAAATAAGATAGGAATTATGTGCACATAACGAAGATAAAAGTACGGGATTGGAGAGTTTTGAAAAAATGTATAGAGGAAAGTAATCTTGAATATTGTAACAATTACTTGATTATTTTTTTCTGATTAAGGGACTTTATTTTTTCTTTTTCCGCGGTTTTCAAATGAATTAGATGCCCTTTTTTCCATGGTTAACTTAGAATCCTACTTGGGTGATACCTTAGATTATTTACATGACGAAACTACATAATGTAGAGATTCAAGCCAAGTGCGCAGTTTAGAAAGTTTTTTCAATTAAAAATGCAAATAAATTAATATAAAATAGTGGAGGAAAAGATTCATACAAAGAGACAAGCCCAAGTTTCTTATTCAACAAATAACCTTATTCATTTTATTTCTTCTAATTCAATAACAGAAGGCTTGTGTTAATGGCATTTTCTGTAGGGTGGTATTATTTAACTAATTTTTACACAAATAATTTACTACAACCAAAATTCAATTCAAATAAAAAAAATTCACAAAAAGGAATTTGGATCAACAAATTAATATAAAATAATGGTTAAAAAACCTGTAGAACTGAATTCATTAATTTCTTGAATTCCCTCTAACTTGAAACGAATATGTAATTTGGGTGGCCCAAGGAGCAAAACATCTATATATATATTGGTACTCTGTCCTGTGAAAAATCAAAATTGACCCATATTTTAAATCATTTATTGGGAATTGATGGAACTAACACTAAAGAAAGGTCAATAATGATCTGTAGATCATAAAAAAATAATTTTTATCCAAAAACTAGAAGGCCAGGATTTTACTTAGATAATTATATTCGATTTTGTGACACTTTCTAAATAATCACAATGGGGATAAGAGAAAAAACGATGATTATTAAATATTAGTTCTCATAACGATTTTTGACTAAACTAAACTGCGACAACTTTCAATCCTTCTTGTTGAATCTTCTTAATTCAAACCTCAAGTATTTATTATTTTTAGCTGAAATCATGCATATACTTTGGACCTTTTAAGCTCAACTCAACTCTTTTTCGTTTTAATGAAAACAGAGAGTAATTCTTTAATTTCTGCTAATTATTCATCAACAATAAAGAGAATGTTTGCAAGAGTTATTGCAGCGATTGAAGAAGGCCTAACCGATCCATCAAATAATCGAACTGTAAATGATGGTACAACTTTTTGGTAGCTATGCTAATGTTGTTGTGGTCGCTCAAAAGGTATTCAAATCCTCCCCCTCATGAAAGAAAGAAAGAAAGAAAAAGTTAGGGTTTGATTGATGATCGTGAACTTTTTCATTTTCTAATAACTTCTGCACCCTTTTCTCTTCACTTTAGTGATATTTAGATTGTCGCAAAGGCCATTGGTACATTTCTCTTGATATTCGTCAGCTTCTGTGCTGTTGCTGTTAATAAAATTTATGGTACAATAACGTTTCCAGGAGTACGTGTCCAACGGATTATGGAGTTGCTACACATTCACACAACTATGACTTGCACGTATAGATGTAAAGAGAGACGTGCCATACAAAAGTCCTAGGATTGCTTGGGCCGACACTGTAAAAATATCACCACCCATAAAATGGGAAAAATTCATAAATAAGGTGTCTTTTTTACGCAAATTCAAAAATAAGGTTTATAGTTTGAAAATTCAAAAATCAGGTTTTTTTTTTAATTCTAATATAATATAATATAATAAACCCACCCCATATGCACCACCCCCTGCTCTAGTGACTATTCTGACGACCATTCCGACCACCACTCTTCTCTGGCGATCATTTCGGCGACTGCTCCTATTCCGGCGACCATTCCAGCGATATCATAGATTTTTAAATTAATTGTTCACATATTATTTCGAGGTCACAAATTTTTAAAGAGTCACATATTATTATATTTTTAGGTCACATTTTGGTCACAGATTTACAATTTATTTAGTCACATATTATTTTTCAGTCACGGATAATAATTTTTATACGTCACATATTATTTTACGGTCACAGTTCAAAA